CATGACATACGTATGAAAATACCAAACACATACTCTTCGACCAAATTTAGTTGGATCTGTGATTGGGTGATTAGTGTTGGACAATTTTCACTGTATTAAAAATAAATTTTGTTCGTGTACTTAATAACAAACAGAATACAGAAGAAATAAAGGAAATGAAGGAGACTGTTTGATTACAAAAATCAAAACAATGTATAAAAATAAATAAATAACAAACAAAAATGTACGAAATATGACTTTATAATACATCGGAACATCTTTTTGAAAAATTATGAGTTCATTAAACCAAAACCCTCTCAACTATTAGTATACATTATTTTACCTTCTTCATTTATAAACTTGTATATATTAACCTCTCAACTTTAAAACACACACAAATACACCCCTTTTAAAAGTAGTCTAAAAGAGTGAAAGTGATATATTTTCATAATGAAAGTGATACATTTTCATAATTAAAGTGATCAAAATATACGAATTTATAAATGAGATGAGTAAATTGATATTCACTAATAGTTTTGAAGTGTAGTGTAATTAACACAAAAATTATTGTATACTCTTAACTAACATTCTCTACGGTACTTTTGACTAATAAAAAATTGCAATACACACTAAGGCCCCGTTTGGTGGCCAACTTTTCACTTAAAATTGCAAAACAATAAAAAATAATATTCTAAATACACTAAAAAGTCAATTTGCCAAACGGACAGCCATTTTTTATCTTTTTAACTACTTAACAATAATGAGTCAACATAATTTACAAGTAAAATTTCCCCAATACGTGATAATGGTAATTTATTTATTTATTTATTTGTGTGTGTATTCATTGGATTTAAGGTAAGAATCCAATAAACATATCAAATTGTCAACATCAGTCCGACCACAACAAAAATGAGTTGAAATATATAAATATTTTATCAACAATAATCCAATCAACACTTTTAAATTCACAGACTAATGATAATCATCACAAATTTTTTTAATCAATTGTTTTCAAAATAAACAGACAAAATTAGCCGACTCTGCTCATGAATCCACGGCAGCCATGTCAAACTAGCAAGCAATGTCATTTTAAGTGAAGTAAGCAAACTTGAGCACAAAAAAAAAATAGAGCTTGTTTTTTAAAAACAAAAGCAAGAAGAAGTAGACAATTCTCTCACACCATTGAAACAAATCTTCATTCTCATGTCATGCCATTTGAAATATTTTTATCAAATAACTCGATCGATTTTTCACAATGGCTTCAAATTCACTGACTACAACTAATCATAATGACCACAAACAACTTTAATCTAATCCGTAACACTTAATCAAGATCAATATGATATAAAATAAGATACAAAGAGAAACAAAGAAGAACTAACATACAAGAATTATAAATCACATACATGAAAAATGAGAAGTTCATAAAATTCATAATAAGAATAATGTGACAGTTCAAACTGTGAAATTATGAAGATAAAATTTATGTGGGCTTACCTTAAAATTAAAATTACATTCATAATTGTTGCAATTTACAATTTCACTGTAATAAAAAATATTTTACACGAGATACAAAGATATCTACCCTCCAACGAATATAAAAATTAAGACAACATGACTTAGGTATGAAAATACCAAACACATACTCTTCTCCGTAACACTTAATCAAGATCAATATGATATAAAATAATACACAAAGAGAAACAAAGAAGAACAAACATACAAGAATTATAAATCACATACATGAAAAATGATAAGTTCATAAAATTCATAATAAGAATAATGTGGCAGTTGAAACTGTGAAATTATGAAGACAAGATTTATATGGGCTTACCTTAAAATTAAAATTACATTCATAATTGTTGCAATTTACAATTTTACTGTAATAAAAAATATTTTACACGAGATACAAACATATCTACCCTCCAACGTATATAAAAATTAAGACAACATGACATAGGTATGAAAATACCAAACACATACTCTTCGACCAAATTTAGTTGGATATGTGATTGGGTGATTAGTGTTTGGTGAATCCACACTACCCAATCACAATCATTTGTTGTATATACCAAACAAAGTGGCCACATCAACCCATCCAAATGAAATGAGCCACCTACGTGTATAAATCCAATTCCAGCCGTTTCAAACTTCGTAAATGAAGTAAACTAATTTGAGCAAGACAAATGAAGCTAGCTTTGAAGTCGTCAAATAACAAACAGGGTTCATTTAAAATAGTCATATAAGACAAAATATGTTATTTTAGTCAAATATGATAAAATGTCACATTCAACCCATAATCATTTCAATTTTTTTTCACAAAAATCAAAAAAAGTCAAAAAACTTATCCCAAATGAGGTTTTTTTAGCCCCAAGTTTAAATAATAAAAAAGTTAAAAAATAAAATAGCTAACCCATAGAATTATGAATCTTTTTACTAACGTGAAATATTCATTTTATTTAACATCATATATAATTTTAGAATTACCCAAAAAAATATATAATTTTATATATTTATATATATATATATATATATGTACAAATAAAATCATGTATATCAATGTAATTATACAAATATATTAGAAGCATCTAATAAAAAGTATCTTAACATGTCATCCACAATTGTCCAATATTAGGTGTCCAACACATATATTTGATTTATTTTGAATAGTTTATGTAACATAGAAGATCATAAGCAATTTTAAACAATTATTGAAAATACCCAACTAACGGTCTATTTGTTTAGACGAAAAACAATTTTTAAAAAATGTTTCAAATTTTCTAGCGTTTGATATAATGAAAAATGAAAGTTAACGAAAAATATTTTATATGGTCAATAGAAAAGAAATATATTTAGACATAAAATGTTTTCCACTTTTAGAAGGCAAAAAACATTTTGAGAACTAAAATCTTACAAATGCTACCATACTATTACCGCTACTCTCACCTCTACCACCATCACCATGACCACCGACACCATTACTATCCATCATCGCCCCTGCCACTCCCACCCCCACCCCACTTCCACCTTTATCCTATCACTACCACCACCAAACATAAAAAAATCTTCTCCAAAAAATGTTATGAATTTTTTTTTCCATATGGCTAAACAAACGGAACGTAAATGCCAACTTCAATATAATGGAATGGAATTAGCCGTCTGTGCATATAAATCCAATTCAAGCTACGTCACCTTCATTGTAAATGAAGTAGATAAATTTGAGCAGGACCAACTTTTGAAGACAAAAACAAGAACAAGCACACAAATCATTATTCTTCATGGCATTGGATTCATCAATGTCATGAAATTGAAACATTACAAATATTGGGTCATCACCATGAATGCCTCCTTTCAATTGGTACAAAAGGTAAGACAACATTATTGGTCGGGGCCAGTTCATAGATGAATTATTTGATTAGGAATGGGTGGTTTTGGCTGTTGTGATTTTTTGTATTTGTTTACGTTGTATTTAATTAGAGAATTTTGAAAAAAAAAATTAGAAAGGAAAATGAAAAAAATAAGTAAAATATAAATACATTTTACATAGTTTCACATACATTTTCTCTTTCTTTTTTCAAATCTCTTCACAAATCTCTCAACCAAACATAACATTAGTACAATCTTAATGCTCTTTTTTTTAAGAAATATTTTGTTAAAAAAAAAACTTAAAGTTTGAAAAATAAATCTTGCATTTTAATTTTATAAATTTAAATCTTAAATCTTAATCTTTCCGTAAAGTATGTAAAACTGATAAAAAAAAGGTGATGTTTTAGACATAAACTCAACAAAAATGGTACTTAAGACATTTTATGAACACCTCAATAGCTAAAATATCAATTTTTCGTTAATTTTACTTGACAAAAATAGGAGAATAGTTTAAATTGAAAACAAATTAAAAGATTATTGTTTAAATTGACAAAATTAAAAATTTAAGATTTATTTTGTTAAAAGAGTGCCACTTTGTTTCTCTTTTTTTTTGGGTGGAAATTTCCCCTAAAAACTACTTTAATTTATCAGAAAAAAAAAGAAAAAAAAAATTCTAATAATCATTGGCAACAACAACTTAATTACTTACTAGTAAGGTTAGATAGTTTTTGGGGCAATCATTAATCGATCTACTAAACCAAAAGGGGCAGTTTTATCAACCAAAAAAAATTGGGGATTTTACCAATTTGAAAGTGTCTCAAACTTCTACAAGTCATATTGTATTTTTAACAGCAGAAGGCTCCGTTTGGGATACCACTTTGGGCTAAAATAACTATATAAGACAAAATTGACTATTTTACCCAAATAGGACAAAATGTTATATCTAACCCATAATCATTTCATTTTTCTTTCACAAAAGTCAAAAAAAACCAAAAAATTTATCCCAAACGAGACTTTTAAATTCCAGACTAAAATAGCCACAAAGCCACCCACCCACATCCCAAACGATTCAATTACCCACTCAAGCTCAATAGTTCAAATGCATAATAATGAGAAGCTTAAAGATATTACATAGACAAAATGTAGTGATTTGCAAATTTCAAGGGTTTCTCTTTTATATATAAATGGCAAGTTACACTACTAGTCCTATAGTTTAGGCAAAGTATCACTTTAATCCGCGAAGTTTCAATTTAACTAATTTGATTCCTATATTATTAATTTTGTTACAATGTAATCTATTCGTCACTTACTATTATAATTTGGAACGGAAAAAGACTACTTACAAAACTAAAGGGACCAAAATGAAATTCAAAATAGAGACTATTAATTCTGCAAGTGATTTTTTCCCGTTCAAAATGTTAACAATGAATAATAGAGAAACTACATTGCAACAAAATTGCAAGTATAAAGCTCCAATTATTCAAATTGAAATTACAGGCACTAAAGTGACATTTTGCCTAAACTATAGAGACTAATGGCCTAATTTACCCAATTAAGTATCTATATATTCTAGGAACGGGAAAAGGAAAAATAAAAAATAAAAAAAAACAGTGCTGCAGCCTGCAGATAATGAAATGTATATAGATAGGGCAAAATATACGACTTCGTCAAATGCTGTTGGGTTGCTGCTGTGGCTCACAGGCAGGCAAACACTAGATTCGATGTCATGCAATTAAAATTTTGGTCACACTAGATTCTTCTACAAGAGATGGAGATTCAAAAATAAAAATAAAAAGCAATATTAAAGATGCTTTGGAATCACAGTCAAAGGAACTTCAGAGAAGATACCTCTTAACATGTTGACCCCACCTTCTGATTCTATAAACACCCATTTCTGTTCAGCAGAAGAAAAAAAACACAAGGAATTAGAAATGGAAGATACTAAGCTTGACAATCAGCAAGACAAAAATGAAGAGCAAGCAGAACCAATAAAAACACCAGGGCTATTCCAGACAATTTTCAGGTACTCAGACGCAACGGATATGTTGTTTATGGCACTGGGAACGTTTGGTTGCTTAGCAGATGGATCATCCACTCCTCTTATCATGCTGGTCCTCAGTAAGATAATGAACAAATATGCCATTTCTAAGTCCTTCACTCTTCATGACATCAATCAGGTCAATCCCAATTCAAAATGCAAGTTCATAGTTTTCTTACATATTGATCTTTAATTTTCTTACTCACGTAATTGCCTTTCGCTATATTTGCATTTGTAGGATTCCATGACCTTAATCTATGTAGCCATTGCAGTGGGCTTGGGCGCATTTCTGGGTGAGTACTAATTAGCATTCACCGCTTATCAATTTGAACTTGAATGCCTTCACTTGGCACACATTGTTCCAAACTTTGGTTGACACCACATGATGGCGCTACTCAGTCTTTACTAAGCCAAAACAACCGGGAACTTTTCAATGAATTCTTCGTGCAGGACACTAGCAAATCACTGTTCATCCTTAAATTTAAGATATAAAAAATAAAAATAAAAAAAAGTTCCTATTGCCATGACCAGGGGCGGAGGAAGGGAATGACATTGTATGAATAATTCTTAAAAAACACATCAAATATTAATTTTTCTTTCATTAACCTTCGCCCCTGGCTGTGACTTTGTCTGTGTGGCATCTCAGAAAAAAAAAAAAAAAAAAAAAAAAAAAACAGGAGATGTTATTTAGTTTTCTCTTGTTTGCCTTGTATCACTTGCCTTTGTCCTAGGCAACTCCCACTTCTTGTACCATATGGGAAATGCAAAAAAATAAGCAAATATCAACACTGTTAATTTTGAATTAAGGACACACACACACAAGAACAAATTGTTTGATACAAAAAATAAAAATCAACATAGTATAGCTAAATAATAAATAAATATAAAAAAAGTAGAAAGTTGTATGATACAAAAATAAATAAATAAAAATACGCACACACAACAACAAATTGTATAGCTAAAAACCTCATCATATCATACAGGAAATGCAAGAAATAATATCAACATTGTTAATTTTGAATTAAGGACAAGCTTGTTTTCACCATCTTCTGCTCTAACGTTTTTTCATTGTTGAATTTTTTTGGGGTGTGTGGATGTGTGTGTGTGTGTGTGGCTATAGCTGTTTTTAAGCTTTTAAATTGGCCAAAGAAGTGCAAGTTGGTTGGAATGAAATCACACTTCAAGTTGGTCACTTTGCAGGTCACTGTTTAATGTGGTTGATTTGGTTGGAGCGAAATAGGCTTATTTTTCAGGGTGTGTCTTGTTCGGTTCCGTGGTTGGAACGATGGCTGCTCACTATTCTTTATAGTTGGGTAATGTTTACGGTAGATCTGGATGTGTTGGCAATTTCGTAGATGATTTGACTAGTTAGACATTGGGCTGTTATAGGCTTGCTTCTTGTATTCTTTGCATTGTTTTGATTCTTTTCTAATAAAGTTTGTTTATTTATCCCCCCAAAAAAAAAATCACGCAAACGACTACGGTAAATATCAATAGAAGTCTAGGCATAGATACTTACCTTTATAGTTGGCCATGGATTATATCATTCATATTTCAATAGTTGACTGATCATACCAGAAATCTACCTGATTATAATAGGTTTCTTCTACTAATTATTTTTTTTTTATCCTAACAGAAGGATTCTGTTGGGCTCGCACAGCCGAGCGGCAAACTTCTTGCCTGCGCAGGAAATATCTATGGGCTGTGTTAAGGCAGGATGCTGGTTTCGTTGACATTCAGCAAGGAAGTTTGACAACATATCAAGTAGTATCAAGTATTTCAGCCAATGCTCTTACCATTCAAGCAGTTCTCAGTGAGAAGGTCTTTATCTGCTCTTGCCACACTATAACTTTCACCTTTCTTTCGTTAAGATTTTAAAGTAGTAATTTTGTCGATGTAGATTCCAAATTTCCTTATGAACATAGCAGTTTTCATCAGTTCTCAAGTGGTAGCTTTATACCTCTGTTGGAAACTAGCAGTTGTTGCCATTCCAGCTCTATCTCTATTGATCGTACCAGGAATAGTATATGGAAAAAGGCTAGCAGAGCTTAGCAAAAAAATACAAGAAGCTTATGGAGTTGCTGGTGGAATAGCAGAGCAAGCATTTTCATCGATCAGGACCGTTTATTCTTATGTGGGCGAGAATCGAACAAGCAAAAAATTTTCAGATGCACTAGAAAGAAGTCGGGATCTTGGTATCAGACAGGGGCTGGTGAAGGGGTTTGCCATTGGAAGTGCTGGAATTGCTTTTGTTGTCATGGCTTTCCAGGCCTGGTATGGAAGCATCTTGGTCACTAAGAAGGGAGCAAAGGGTGGGGATGTTTTTGCAGCAGCGGTATGCATCGTCACTGGAGGACTGTAAGTTTAGATGCTAACATTATACTTCCTATCATGGTTTTACATAAAAGTATCAAGATATGTACCAATATTTGGTGGTAGGGTGATATATTGGTCAATATTAGACAATACCGGCTAATATATCAATGAATAATTGTTTTGGACGTCCAAAATTCCCATACATAACGGGCAATATGTTATGTAATGGCCGATATTTAAAACCTTGCTTCCTATATATGACAACTATGTTAGATGAACTTGAGTACGGATATCGGGTGCGGGCACATATCCAGAGGGCAAACCCATCAAACCTCAAATTTTAAATTTGCTGAGACTTGGCAAAAAAAGATTATATTTTTATATTTTTAATCTATTATGTAAGATAAAATGGTGGTATATGTAATAAGCAGAGTAAAAAATGTATTTTACTCATTTTATAGTAATTATACAGCAATAAATGCATATAATGATAGTGTTGAATACAAATATATAAGAAATGTTCGATAAAAAGTATCAAACACATATCTCACACATTTATCCAAGTGTCAAGTGTCTAACACCAGTATTTGATTTATGTTGAAGAGTCAATGTAACATAGAAGATGGATCATGGATCACAAATAGAAACATTTTGCATAGATAATTGACTCCTGAATTTACTTTCTTTTGTAGTGCCCTTGGAAGTTCCATGGTCAATATGAAGTATTTTGCAGAGGCAGCCACATATGCATCTACGATATCAGACATGATCGAGCGAGTTCCAGCTATAGACTCTGAAGATCAAAGGGACAAAACAATTATAGATGTTAGAGGTGACTTGGAGTTCAAAGATATCGATTTTGCATATCCTTCAAAACCCACACACATGGTACTGAAAAATTTCAACTTCAGAGTGATGGCCAGTCAAACTGTAGGATTGGTAGGCAGCAGTGGATCAGGCAAATCCACAATAATCTCTTTAGTGGAGCGGTTCTATGATCCCCTTAAAGGAGAGATCTTATTGGACGGAATTAACATAAAAACACTAGAGCTGAAAAGCTTACGGTCTCAGATAGGTCTTGTTAGCCAAGAACCTATACTCTTCGCAACTTCCATAAAAGAGAATATACTTTTTGGAAGGGAAAGTGCTTCAATGGAACAGGTCACTAATGCAGCTAAAGCTGCCAATGCACATGACTTCATCAGTCAATTACCTGACAGTTATGACACACAAGTAAGTTCCAGACACTTCAATCATTTCTATCACCGCATGTATGTTTTGATCTTTAAGAATGATTCAGTTGTTATGATGTGTTTGTTGCTACCAACACCACCACATACCATAATAAATAAGAAATTAAGACCTCGTTTGTGAATAGACTATTTTCGTAATTTTTTGATTTTTTACGAAAAAATGTGCAGAAAAATAGATAGAGTGATGTGATAATTTATTAGTGACTTCTTAACTTTTTGACTAAAACAGAAGGTTGCCAAACGAGGCTTAAATCTAAAAAGCCCCCCCTCCCCCCTGTACACACACACACACACACATACAAACACAAAGAGGAAAAAAGAAGAACAATGAAGAAAGAAGTATTTGTTCATTTAGCGATTTCCTCTTAAATGGGTACCAGCTTATTCGCAAATGTGTTCAGTTTGTACTTCGAATGCCCTATCTGCCTGTAAATAAGTATTTTGACCACTATACTCTTTCCACTTCCTTTCATAACAAATTCTGATAATAGCACAATTTTAAAATGCATAACTATGTACCCAGTCTTTCCTTTGATATCAACGAATACATTTACATTTTTATATCGTTATAGGAAGAATGTCATACAGCACACAAACTTTGAAACTTTCAGTTGATAGGTGTAAAATCTCATAGAAACTAAGATCTTCAGTGATTGTTCCTGAAGAAACATGAAAAATAATTAATGATTAGGAGATGGAAGTTTATGTACAATTTGTTTCGTATCATAGGTTGGGCAGTTTGGAATTCGGATGTCTGGAGGTCAGAAGCAAAGGATTTCCATTGCAAGGGCATTACTGAAGGACCCGAGAATCCTGCTGCTAGATGAAGCAACCAGTGCTTTAGACTCTCAGTCTGAGAAAAATGTGCAGGATGCTCTAGATCAAGCCTCAGTGGGACGAACAACCATAATAGTTGCACACCGGTTCACTACTCTCCATAAAGCCGACTTAATAGCAGTTGTTCAATCAGGACAGATAGTTGAGTGCGGTTCCCACATTCAACTTCTTCAAAATGAGCAGAGTCCATACTCAATAATGGTGCAGCTGCAACAAACTTCAGTAGAAGATAATGGACCTTCTGTGATACTGGACTCTAACGATGATCTCAGTTTCACACAAGAGGCTCAAGAAACAAATGAGGTTTCGGAATTCCAAAACAAATCATTTGATCAACATACTAGGGCCAACAAACATCAAGAAGATGATGATAACAGCACTCCATCTCTACGGCATCTAATACAAATGACAGCTCCTGTACGAAACCAGACTCTTCTGGGTTGTGCTGCTGCTCTTTTCTTTGGAATCATTCAGCCTATTCATTCTTTCTGCATGGGTGCTCTTCTGTCTGCCTACTTCATCAATGATCACAATGAGATTAAGAAGCAGACTAAAATATACAGTCTTGCCTTCTTAACCTTTGGTATCTTTATTTTCATCACCAGTGGGGTTCAACATTACAACTTCGGCTTCGTAGGAGAGCACTTAACCAAACAAGTCAGGGAGAAAATGGTATCAAAGATTATGACATTTGAGATTGAGTGGTTTGATCAAGAAGACAACACAAGTGGGGCTCTTTGCTCGAGACTAGCTACAGAGGCAAATGTGGTTAGATCTCTTGTTTGTGATAGGCTGTCATTGCTAGCTCAGGTCCTGTCGGCAGCAATCGTAGCAGTTATTTTGGGGGTATCATTGACGTGGAGACTTGCATTCGTGATTATCAGTTTACAACCACTTATCATTGGGTCATTCTACACCAGAGGTGTCCTAATGAAGAGCATGTCAAAGAAAGTCTTAAAAGCTCAAAATAAGAGCAGTGACTTAGCAAGTGAAGCGATTGGGAATCACAAAACAATTGTAGCTTTCTCTGCCGAGGGGAAAATCATGAAACTCTTCACAACTACACAAATAGGTGCCAAGAGAGAAAGCCTAAAGCAGTCCTGGTATGCTGGAATCGGTCTATTTGTGTCACAGTTCCTAACTGCAGCTATGGCTGGGCTAATATTCTGGTATGGAGGACGACTGTTATACCACGATAATATCACCTACAGGCACCTATTTCAGACATTTTTCATTTTGGTGACGACCGGGAGAGTCATAGCAGAGGCAGGGACCATGACTTCAGACCTCTCGAAGGGCACCGATGCGCTGAAATCAGTTTTCATGATCTTGAAAAGAAAGAGTAAGATGGAACCAGATGAAATGGATGGGGTTGAGCCTGAGAAGCTGAACGGAGACATAGAGTTCAAAGATGTATACTTTGCTTATCCATCAAGGCCCAAACAACTTATACTTACGGGATTAAGCCTCAAAGTTGAAGCTGGGAAAACAGTATCATTGGTTGGGCTGAGTGGCTCTGGCAAATCAACCATCATCGGACTGATTGAGAGATTTTATGACCCATTGAATGGATCAGTTATGATTGATGGACTTGACATTAAGTCCTATAACCTGAGAGGTCTGAGATCTCAGATAGCATTGGTTAGTCAGGAACCCACTCTTTTTGCAGGTACAATCCTTGACAATATCAGCTATGGAAATGAGAATGCCACTGACGCTGAGATAATTGCAGCTGCAACACTTGCCAATGCCCATGAATTCATAAGGTGAGCACTAGAATAGTAGCCCATGTTCAGAATTCTGCATTTATGACTTGAATATCTAACGTGTAGTCCTAGTAAATAAAGTAAATAAATAAAAGAGAAGAAGAAGAAGCAGAAAATTTGATGGTCTTCCCATTTTATTATTAACACTAATGCATTTGTCCCCTTCCGATGACAACAGTTGCATGAAGGATGGCTATGCAATGTTCTGTGGTGAAAGGGGAGTGCAGTTATCAGGAGGCCAGAAGCAAAGGATAGCTCTTGCTCGAGCCATATTGAAGAATCCTTCAATACTACTATTGGACGAGGCAACGAGTGCTTTAGACAGTAAATCTGAGAGCGTTGTACAAGAAGCAATGGAAAATTTGATGATTAGTAGGACCTGTGTAATCGTAGCTCATAGATTATCCACGATTCAAAAGTCAGACTCGATAGCAGTGATTGACAATGGGAAGATAGCAGAAGAAGGTCCTCACGATGTGCTTGTTGCCAAAAGAGAGAAAAGCATATACTACTCACTTGTCAGACTCCACCAAAATGACACATCGGGATAAGAACCATTCATGCATATGTTCGTCTGTGTCCGTATTTTTCCTTTCATAGCAGGGTGGATGAAAGTCAATTGTAACAAAGTAGGGAAAAGGTAGGCTTGTTCGGTTTGTCGAACTACTAGAGACCAATCAGGGGAGCTAATTGCTGCTTGGTCCTGCAAATTGTTCCCCATTGAGGTTTGATGTGCATAACTCACTAGAGAATGGTTGCAATAGGAAAAACTTTTCAAAGGGAGCTGCTAAGACGAACTCAGCTTGGACTAACTCCATTACTTATCACTAGAGGAGGCATCATACCCACATTTCTGATTTGAGGAACCCCAATGTCTACGGATGAAGTTCCACACAATCTCAATAGGTCAGTTCGGGTTAAGTTCATCTATATTACAAAGGGAACATTTCAGTTGGCGCCAGAACAAAAGTAAAGTTGTGTAACACCTTCTTATAGCATTAATGTCAAATATGCTCTTTATTCCCCCCACCCCAAAACAAAAAAAATAAAAAAAATGCATATGGCTTGTGCCAGTTAATCTAAAAAAACCACATCCTTGAGATAACCTCTTCCTCGATTATGATAATGGAAGAAACTGCCAAACTAGTAGCACACACATTGCGTCTATTCAAAATCTAGCATTCACTACAAGAAAATGCACATTTGCCAACTAATTTTGGCGACTAAAACATTTTTAGTCGCCAAAAGTATAATTTTTGGCGACTAAAATTTAATTTGGTCGGCATTGGTTCAATATTTACCTACTAAACTTTTTTAGTCGATAAATATTTGCAATTGGCGACTAAATTTAAATTTAGTAGGCAAAAATTAAATTTTTCAGCGACTAAATAGGATATTAGTCGTTGTTAGTGTACAATTTATCCTTAAAAAAAAAAAATCTGTAATATTTCTTTTGCTCAACTAAAATAGTACTTAGTCGCGAAATAGGACTTTTAGCGACTAAAAATTTCGTCGTTGTTGAGTGATAATTCGTTACTTTCCCGACTAAGTTCAAAATTGGTCGGCAAAGGTTCAAATTTCAAGTCGCGCCACTTCATTAATTGATGTGCGCGCGTTGATCTATAGGCAACAGTATCACACACAAGTGAACAACAGTGTATCACACACACCTCACCAAATCTCACAGAACTCAGCCCCCCTCACCGTATTCTACTGTACGGGCGACATTGCGACCGCCACCGCCACCGCCACCAGCGTCAATCACCACCGTCGAAGCCCTTGAATCACAGGTTCCCTCTCTCTCTCTCTCTCTCTTTCTCGCTTTCGCGCTCTACTTCTCAGTCCGTCTGTGCGTCTCTCGCTCAAGCTCTCTGACACAGTCTATCTATGTATCTGTCTGTCTATGTCTCTTTCCATCTCTTTCTCAAAGAGTTAAAAATGTTAAGGGTTAAAAAATCAAGGAGAAAATCAATGCTGGCATAATCTGTATGACCTACCTTCCAACTGGTGAACAATTAGCTGATGTGCTAACGAAGGGACTACACAAGAAGCAATTTGATAAGCTGACTAGCAAGCTGGCTATGGAAGATATCTTCAAACCAGCTTGAGGGGGAGTGTTGGAAATTTGTGTTAATGTATATAATAAGATGGTGGCATGTATATAATATGATAGTGGTGTTGGTGAAGGATAGTGGCATGTATAGAATATGATTGTGGTGTTGGTGGTAGATAGTGGCATGTATATAATATGATAGTGGTAGATTGTGGTAATATATAATATGTAAGTGGCATATAATGGGTTATAATGATGTTTGTAATATCTCCTATATAAGGAGTGTCATTTGGTCTTGTAAGATAAGAAGTTTTGAATATAACAGAAATATATTCCTTCTTCCTCATATTTATCGGAGTTCTTCTTCCTCATATTTTCTAAGTGACTATCTCGATCATGGTTATCATGTTACTAATGTAGAGAATTGAATCACACTGACACTCTAGATAGGAGCCATGTCAAAGCATATTGGATGCGCCATAATTTTAAAATAAATTGCATATGCTCAGATGCAGCCAACACTTCTCAGACTCTCAATTAGCATTTGAGGAGCATTGCTTGAGTCCTTGAAACTATTGAATGTAGGATACACACATTCCTAAGTCTTCCAACATTTTCTTGTCTTAAAAACATAAATAAATGAAAAGAATGGTTGATATCACACATTCATGACTAGAATTTGAGCATCCTATGGATTCTTTTGAATATATGAAAAATAAAATACACTAATGTATAGCAAAAATTACAGAAAGATAATAGCAGTTGGAATTTCATATGTTTATTATGTTCATAGTGGAATTTCATAGTTCTAGCTTATGAACTAATAATGGTTATCCTAATTTTCCTGCAGAACCTTCCCCGTTGCAGACAACTACAATTGTGGAGAAATGCAATCTTAAACTGGTTGACGAGTACAAGCACACGCTATGCCAAGCCACAGAGCCATTGTCAACCTTTCTTGAGTATATCATGTATGGAGATTTAAGTCTTTTCCAAGCATGACTAATTTTTTATGTGAAGTATTGAGACAGCTTAGCTACTGGGTACTTGGTTGTTTATGTTCATGCAGAATTTGCCAAAATATTTATTCTAGGGGTAATTCTCTAGGGTTATGTATTCCCTAATGTGAGTGTGTGGGTTCTCTGCCCAAGATTGATGCTTTCGGTAAAGTTTGAGAAGTTTCCATGCATTTGGAATCATTCTGTCCCGAAGTTACAAGGTTTTTGTAATTGTTGTATGTATTTGTTGCATTCCAACTTATATTGGCAAGATAATTGTTATGTGAAGCTCACTAAGCATGTGTCTGTTTGTGCTATTTTGAGTCACATGGTGCGTTTAGTGTGTACAGTTAAGCTTTAGCTGGTTTGACATACCTTTAAATTCAGCCCAAACTGTGCATTGGCTACAAGTCTTGCTTGAAGTCCAACCTTATGTTTGGTTGGCATATAGGCATGCAGTTTCATCTTCTTTAATGTGCAATTCACTGGTTTCTAAACAGGATGAGGGTGAACCTTTACTTTACTGCGTTTTTAATTTAATGCCTGGCTGGTAAAATAGATTGTCTTAAAATTTTTCTGGAAACCTAAATACCTAATATTTGTTCATATTGTACAGATATGGTCACATGATTGACAACGTTGTCCTGATCGTTACTGGAACCTTGCATGAAAGAGATGTTCAGGAATTGTTAGAGAAATGCCACCCTTTGGGCATGTTTGACAGGTAATGTTTACTTGATGCAGGTTTGTAGTTTTGTTTTGACTACTAATAACATGGCAATGTTTTTCTTAATTTGTTTCCTCAATATTGCTACCCTGGCAGTTGCTCAGAATATGCGGGAACTATATAGACTGGTGCTTCTTGACACGCCTTTGGCTCCGTACTTCTCTGAGTGTATCACATCTGAGGTACTCACATCTGAGCTCTCTAACACATCTGACTATGTCTTTCTGTGATTATTTTTATTGTATGTCAAAATATGTAGAGCCTCAAGGAAAATGGTATGTTCGTAGAAATGAAATGGGGAAAACAGTGTCACATAATTGGTTATCTTGGGGTCTTTATATTCTTACCTCCTGCACCATTTGAAGGGTTTAAATTATTTTATTATTGAATACTTGTAGAGCCCCAAAAAAATTCACTTAAGTTGCTTATTAGGTCTCAAGCACTCAAGCCGCAGTTAAGGAGGATTCACTATTCTGGTGGCTGATATAAATCAATGTTGTTGCCTATAATATTATTATAAACTTCTTTCGTCAAATCCATTAGGCATTTTTTGGATCATGATTTTTCAACATTCATTTTCTTTCTGGTATAAGTACCCTTCTGTATTTGAATATGAGGATTAGATTGGAAATTCTTGTTTGCTATTGATGATTGTCTGCATCTTCCTTCAGTTTTTCATGCTCGAGTATTCTAGATACAATTGCAGGTGATGTTGTTCATTTGAAGTATGAGTGGATAAGATGGCAGATTGATCATTTTGGATAAAGATTTTTTTTATTTATTATCTCTATGCCAAAAATGATAGTATGATTTTGTGATAGAACTATTTTGTTATCACCTAGAGATTATCAATAACAACTTGACTAATTCTTGTCATTTAGTTTTGTGAATATGGAATGTTACTAATGTAGGCATTACGTAAGAGCATAAGGATGGCAATTCTTGTGCATAATATGCATGAAGGTAATAAGAGTACCATGGCATACTAGTAATTACGAGGATTGGAATGAATACAGGGATTGTTAATTTCAAGTTTAAGGATTTTGATGCTGCTATTGAAGACCTATCCGCATGTGTAAAGCTTGATAAGGATAACAAATCAGCGTACACATATTTGGTAATTCTATGGTTCCTAAAATTTATTGATCTAGGGTCTAGTACAATCAGCTTGAGAAAGTTCAGGCACTTTTCCATGTAAAAAATATTGATGGAGCAGGTTTTGACTTTTACAAGGTTTGGCATTATCTTCAATTGGTGAATACAGGAGGGCTGAGGAGGCACATATGAAATCAATTCAACTTGATCCAAGTTTCCTTGAGGCATGGGCTCATTTAACACAGGTATTCATAAGTAAATACTCAGTGTAATTGACTTAAAATATTTGAAGCTTTAAGTAACCAGCTTAGGGTATGATGAGATATCACCCCTTATTTATACATGAAGATTAGGGTTTACAAGGCATAAAAATGATTACAGACCCTAGTGACTTTCGACTAATATAATATGCTAAGTGACTTTCGGCGAATATAATATGCCAACACTCCCCCTCAAGCTGGTGCGAAGATATCTCTCACGCCCAGCTTGCCTAATATGTCATGAAATGGTTTATTCCCAATTCCCTTGGTGAGAATGTCAGCAAGTTGTTCACCAGACTGGACAAAAGGCCAATTTGATCAAACAGGATCGTATTGGATCCAAATCCGCCGGATGATTTGACTCTTATGTTTTCATTGGAAGTTGAGCCTATTGCTACGTCTAAGCAGAACAGGGCGCACTATAAGATAGAAATTTGCATTAAACAAAAATTAGCATGTCAAATATAACAAATTACTTTATTATAGGGCTTCATCATTTGTTCTTAATTCATAGAGATTGGAGTATGTGATTTAATTTTGCTGTTTAATGTTTTCCTAAATTAAAAATAACTTGGAGTATGTGAGTTTAACTAATGATGAAGTTTTGCTGAGTTTAACTAAATAGCCTGTGTGGTCAAAATTAGTTTGTCTGGTAAGGATTGGGTGTGTGCAATGCAAGTTTTTGTTTATTTGTTTCTGGTAAGCTTCCATTGATGTTATCTGGGTTGTGATAGTTACTTTAGAAACCTTGTTGGAAGTAGTGTCCCTGTGTGCATATACTGTATAAACTGTCAGTTATTTCTGTTTTTCCTTAAATGAAATGGTGTTGCCTACAGGTGTAGCATATTTTGGTAGAAAACCTCTATGTTCTGATGTTGTTACTTTTACACACACACACACACACACACACACACAAAGAAAGAAAGAAAAGAAAAATTCAAGCACAGCTGCAAGTTCATTGACATAGGCTAAACGGACCAGATATTTGTTTAGAGAACTGATATATCTTATGGGCATTTTTTTCCATCTAAAACATTGATTTGAACTGCTCTTTTTCATAATTTTTTGCAACTTAAATCATGAAAGGAAATGTTTTGAGTATTAAAACATAGCCAATAGTTACATTACAAGAAGGGAATCCCCTCTGAAAAAACAACATCCACAACGATAGTAGCCCATCTCACTTAATCTGGGAGATGACAAGCTGTCTAAGCTTACAACAGACCTAATCTGAGCACTAACATTATAAATTTGCTGAGGTATGCATGATTAAGAACATTCATCAGTTTGAAGCCCCCTATTGCCACCCTATATTGGCCCTGTTTGGTAGAGCTGTGAGAAAGTGTTTATAGCTTATACTTAAACAGCTTATAGCTTATAACTATGAACATAAGCTGATTTCTGACTTATAAATTAAGCATCTCCTGCCCCACTCAAAGAATAAGCTGGTTTCTGACTTCCAAAATGCTATAAGCTATAAGCTATAAATTAAACCAAACACATCAAAATAGTTTAAATTAAGCTGAAAGCTGAAATAAGCAGCTTTTAAGCTGCACCAAACAGGCACATTGTATATATAAAATAAAATAAAAAAACCATGCAGCCCGCACATGACCATTAACAAACTGCATTTTCTCTCTCTGAAAAGACAATTATGCTGTTCTGTTCGGAAAGACCAGTGAGTGGCTTTCACATATCTTATGTTCCTGCCCAATCAGTTGCTTCTGTTCACTAATAATAGCACAATATCTTACTGTGGTTACTGCTTAATGAAAGAGTGATTCGAATATTTTTTTCTTGGTTGGATTTTTTGATGGCCAACCTTGTGAGGCCCTAAGTAAGCTACATTAGACGAGAATCTGTAGTTAACATCATTTTGAATCACTTTGATATGTGAGCACTGATACTATGTTGTTAAGTCGAGTAAATTTGCATGAGATCTTTGTAGTTTTAGAAGAACTCTGGCTGGACCTCACATCATTGTTGGTTTTAGAACTTTTTAAGAATCTTGCCTTGGAATTTGCTGCAACATAATGCATTTTTAATCTGTATTATACAGCTGTGGCAAATCCATTGTGTTGTGGATGTGTCTTGTGGTGGGTTTTGCAGCCTTCCATTTAGGACATGTAGGCTTGTAATGTGAAGTCCATATGATTCTCTTGGCATTGTTCTGTTTGATTGGCAAAAGTGAGTTGGAGAAGGTGGATACTCAGGGGGATCATTTAAAAAGCTTAAGGGAGTCTCAATCTTACTACAAAATCAAGGACATACATATAGTCATTTTTTTTAGATTTGCAATTGTAATACATTAAGCAATCTTTTGGGGCGAAAACTTAGTCGAAAAAGGGCATTTCGGGGGCGAAAATGAAAAACAGCCCCCGAACCTCCGTGTGGCCGAAACGAATAGTTTCCCTATGCCAAATATGACTTGTGACAACTGACGGAATGTTATTCGGACCTATAGGATGGGATTTAGAGTCGAATACGCCCAAAACTTAGTCGAAAAAGGGCGTTTCGGGGGCGAAAATTCAAAACAATCCCCAAACCTCCGTTTGACCGACATGGGCAACTTCCCCATGCCAAATACGACTTGTGACAACTGACGAAACGTTTTTCGGACCCGTAAGTTGGGATTTAGAGCCGAATACGCCCAAAACGTGGTCAAAAAAGGAAGTTTCGGGGGTGAAAATTCAAAACAGCCCCCGAACCTCCGTGGGGCCGACACGGGCAGCTTCCCCATGCCAAATAGGACTTATGATAACTGACGGAATATTATTCGGACCTATAAGTTGGGATTTAAAACCGAATACGCCCAAAACATAGTCGAAAAATGGCGTTTTGGGGGCGAAAATTCAAAACAGCCCCCGAACCTCCGTGTGGCCGACACAGGCAGCTTCCCCATGCCAAATAGGACTTATGATAACTGACAGAATATTATTCGGACCTACAGGTTGGGATTTAGAACCGAATACGCCCAAAATATAGTCGAAAAATGGCATTTCGGGGGCAAAAATTCAAAACAGCCCTCAAACCTTCGTGTGGCCGAAACGAACAGTTTTCCCATGCCAAATATGACTTGTGACAACTGACGGAATGTTATTTGGACCTAAAGGTTGGGATTTAGAGCCGAATACGCCCAAAACATAGTCGAAAAAGGGTGTTTCGTGGGCGAAAATTCAAAACAGCCCCCGAACCTTTGTTTGGCCGACACGGGCAGCATCCCCATGCCAAATAGGACTTGTGACAACTGACGGAATGTTATTCGGGCCCGTAGGTTGGGATTTAGAGACGAATACGCCCAAAACTTAGTCGAAAAAGGGCGTTTCGGGGGCGAAAATTAAAAACAACCCCCAAACCTCCGTGTGGCCGAAACGGGCAGCTTCCCCATGCCAAATATGACTTGTGACAATTGACGGAATGTTATTCGGACCTATAGGTTGGGATTTAGAGCCGAATACGCCCAAAACTTGGTCGAAAAAAGGCATTTCAGGGGCGAAAATTCAAAACAGCCCCCGAACCTCCGTTTGGCCGACATGGACAACTTCTCCATGTCAAATAGGACTTGTGACAACTAACGAAATGTTATTCAGACCCGTAGGTTGGGATTTAGAGACGAATACGCCCAAAACGTAGTCGAAAAAGGGAGTTTCGGGGGCGAAAATTCAAAACAGCCCCCGAACCTCCATGTGGTCAACATGGGCAGCTTCCCCCATGCCAAATAGGACTTGTAACAACTGACGGAATGTTATTCGGACCTATAGGTTGGGATTTAGAGCCGAATACGCCCAAAACTTAGTCGAAAAAGGGCGTTTCGGGGGCGAAAATTCAAAACAGCCCCCGAACCTCTGTGTGGCCGAAACGAACAGTTTCCCCATGCTAAATGTGACTTGTGACAACTGACAAAATGTTATTCGGACCTATAAGTTGGGATTTAGAGCCGAATACGCCCAAAACATAGTCGAAAAAGGGTGTTTCGTGGGCGAAAATTCAAAACAGCCCCCGAACCTCCGTTTGGCTGACACGGGCAGCTTCCCCATGCCAAATAGGACTTGTGACAACTGACGGAATGTTATTCGGACCCGTAGGTTGGGATTTAGAAACGAATATGCCCAAAACTTAGTCGAAAAAGGGCGTTTCGGGGGCGATAATTCAAAACAACCCCCGAACCTCCGTGTGGCCGACTCGGGCAGCTTCCCCGTGCCAAATATGACTTGTGACAACTGACGGAATGTTATTTGGACCTGTAGGTTGGGATTTAGAGATGAATACGCCCAAAACTTAGTCAAAAAATGGCGTTTCGGGGGTGAAAATTTAAAACAGTCCCCGAACCTCCGTGTGGCCGACACGGGCAGCTTCTCCATGCCAAATATGACTTGTGACAACTGACGGAATGTTATTCGGACCTATATGTTGGGATTTAGAGCCGAATATGCCCAAAACATAGTTGAAAAAGGGCATTTCGGGGGCGAAAATTCAAAACAGCCCCCGAACCTCCGTTTGGCAGACACAGACAGCTTCCCCATGCCAAATAGGACTTGTGACAACTGACGGAATGTTATTCGGACCCGTAAGTTGGGATTTAGAGATGAATACACCCAAAACTTAGTCGAAAAAGGACGTTTCGGGAGCGAAAATTCAAAACAGCCCCCGAACCTTCGCGTGGTCGACACGGGCAACTTCCCTATGCCAAATATGACTTGTGACAACTGATGGAATGTTATTCGAACCTATAGGTTGAGATTTAGAGCCGAATACACCCAAAACTTAGTCGAAAAATGGCGTTTCGGGGGCGAAAATTCAAAACAGCCCCCGAACCTCCGTGTGGCCGAAATGAATAGTTTTCCCATGCCAAAAATGACTTGTGACAACTGACGGAATGTTATTCGGACCTATAGGTTGGGATTTAGAGACGAATATGCCCAAAACTTAGTTGAAAAAGGGCGTTTCGGGGGCGAAACTTCAAAACATCCATCGAACCTCTGTCTGACTTTCACGGATAGCTTTCCCATTACAAATAGGACTTGTGACAACTGACGGAATGTTTTAAACTTGCTAATTTTGTGAACGTACACATGTGTGTTGTTATTTTTATCACATGTTCTAATATCCTCTCTGAAATGGTACTGACATACATTAATAAGCACCGATGGTTTTATATCCAATCTAATGATTCAAGTGCCTTTTGCAAACAAATAATGAGGATCTTGGTAAAAAGAAAACTTTCTATTTACATAGGGCTTTGATATTGGTTTAGCCACAGAATTTGGCATACATGTTGCATACAAATAGAAGATTGTTACATTAGTTGTATGTTACTAATGAAAGATTTAGTAATGATTGTTCTGCATTTAACAATGTTCCTTATAACAGAAGACTTTAGAAAGACTGTACAATGACTGATAATTGATTCATCATGGAAGGTTGTTTCTCACTTATTTTTATTTGTCACTACCCAAATTTATTCATGAAGTTGGGCATTTTTGGGTCCAATTCTAATTTTTTTTTTTTGTTTTTTGTAGATGACTTCGTTGCGTGGACTTGTAGAGATATTTTGGTGTATGGAGAAGAAATTGTACTTTTGTCGTCTCCAGCTTTTGTGCAGTTAACTATTCCTGATACAAAAAACTATTGGCAGCAAACAAATAATTATTGGCATGGTAGATAGATCACTTTTTAACGCCGTCCACTAAATTGATTTTTTGTCGTGGTACATAGATGAATTTTTGGTTTGGTACATACATCACATTTTATCGTGGTACAGATTACGATGGTAATTTGTACTATGTCAAATTGTCATTTCACATGGTATAGTAAATGTAATTTTTGTATATGGAGGGCTTTACTTTTTGTATGATTGAATATGTTGTATGGAATTATTATTTTAGTTTGGACAATAGTTCGTTTGTATGTACTTGGACAGTTAAAGTAATTTATTTTTTGTATATGGATGCAGATTGTGAAATGATTGATAATTTATGTATCATTTTATTTATATACGTATTACAGGTTGAATGAAATACAGACAGGTTATGGACACATTATAATATTAGCAATAAAACATAATATCATGTTTTTGCCGACTAAACATTTTGTAGCCAATGAAAAGGGGGGAGAAAAAAAAACAAATATTTGGCTACTAAAAGTTTTGTAGCCAAAAGAAAATCAAACATTTGGCTACTAAATTTTTTGTAGCCAAAAGAAAAACAATCATTTGGCTACTAAATTTCTTGTAGCCAAAAGAAAATCAAATCTTTGGCTATTAAAAGTTTTGTAGCCAAAAGAAAATCAAACATTTGGCGATTAAAATATTTTGTAGCTAAAAACAAAAGTTAAAGAATAAATATGACTTTTGGCGACTAAAAATTTAGAAACCAAAAATGTCATAGTTTAGGCGACTAAATTTTTAGTAGCCAAAAGAAATAGTATTTGGCGACTAAAATTTTAGTAGCAAAAAAAGATTGACTTTAGGCAACTAAAATTTTAGTAGCCAAAACACTAGTATTTGCTTTTGGCGACTAAAAAATTTAGTAGCTAAAAATTTTTCGGCCACTAAATAATTGGCTTTTGGCGACAAAAAAATTGGTCGCCAAAAATGTATTTAATTAATTAATTTTTAAACCTATTGGCAACTAAATTAGGTTTAGTCGGCAATTATATTTCCCGACTACTCGTTGGCTACTAATTTTCCGATTAAAAAATTTAGTCGCGAAAGACTATAGACGACTAAAATATGACTTTTGGCAATTAAAAATTTAGTTGCCAAAAGTGAAAATTCTTGTAGTGATTATACATGCAGCAACAACATTGGGATAATAAGGCCTAGTTTGACATAATCTAAAAAAGTCAAAAAGTTACTATCCTATTTAAGTCATATAATCTTATTTAAATCATATAATCTCTCTACTATATCACTTCAAACTCAATCCATATTTTACTTTTTTTCGTAAAAAGTCAAAAAATACACTTATTTAGATCATTCCAAACGACCTCATTGAAATAACAGCTAAAGCATAAGTTGAAAAGTCATCTAGCTGTAAATTACAATTGTGAATTAGATGCAAATAAATATGAGTCAAATAGGGCAAATTACACTATTAGTCCCTATAGTTTGAGGCTTGTGTCACTTTAGTCTCTGGCTTTTCAATTGTGACATATTTGACCTTGAATTTTAAATCTTGTTCTAAATAAGGACAATTGAACATACCATTGCTTAATTTCAAGGGCAAAATAGTCAATTTGATAAAATATAAACTAATTTGACAAAAATGAATATCAAAAAAATATTTTAAAAATTATTTTTATCCACCAAAAATAAAATTATGTAAAATTGGTAAAAATTAATAAAAATTACATGATTAATTTTTAAAAATTAATTTTACATGATCATCATCTAAATACATTATAAAAATTAATTTGGTAAAAAAATAAATAAATATCTAAAAGATTTATCAATTTTATATAATTTTATCTTTAGTAGCTAGAAATAATTTTTAAAAATTCAAAAATAAAATTTTGACATTTCTTTTTGTCAAATTAATTTATATTCTATCAAATTGACGATTTTGCCCTTGAAAAATCCAATAGTATTTACAATTGTCCTTATTTGAAACAAAATTCAAAATTCAGGGTCAAATGTGTCATAATTGAATAGTCAGGACCAAAATGCCACAAGTCCTAAACTATAGAGGCCGTTAGTGTAATTCACCCAATCAAATACTGTCACACTGGTGAACTTAAGTAAAAAATTCACTGCTAAGAATCACAAAAACTCAATAAGAGAGCTAGGGTTTTTGAGTTTACCTCTTCCCAAACAGAAAAACGACCAGGGTTTTTCTTCATCCATCTGTTTGTTTCCCTGGAAAAATAATACAACAGTAATAGAAATGGTTCGAATGTACTAAAATGCCCAAGAATGACGACTAAGAAAATAAAAAATGGAAGATATGCAAAGAGAAGATTGAATGGATTGAAGCTAAGATTCAGTCCCAAATCTTTGAATCTCCCCCCCCCCCCCAAAAAAAAAAAAAAAATCTACAAAAAGAAGCTAAAAAAGTCTCATATTTTTCTTATTTTTTGTGTTAATCAAATGAGTAATTCTAATCGCACATCATCCATTCTCTTCTCACTCCCAATTTCTGACTTCACTTCACGCCACAATTTATTTTTATTTTAAATGGGCATATCATATTGTAAAAAGTGTTATTATTATATTTTTATCAATAAAATTAAAATTTTAATGATGAATTATTATTCAAAATTTTTGTCTAAAAAATAAATTATTTTGACACAAAATTAATTTATCTCTAAAATTACATTTATTAACAATATTTTTAAAAATTTATCACTAAATATTATTTTTTTTATTTTTAAAATATTATTTTAATGACCACTCTAGTGACGATAATCCTGTGAGTTAATTTATTTCCTAATCTGTTTTGCAACAAAAAATTTATTTATAAACATTCTATGAAAATATTTTTTATTCTTAACATAATTTATCAAATAATGTCCCAAGTCCTAATTCATTGGAGCCTTTGGGTGGAAACTATATATGCAATTTTTTTATTCAAACAAAATCTAAACTTTATACGGTTAGTATTAATCATGAATAAATTAAGGAGAGAAGTTGCATTAAGTAACTGTGGGGATATATTTCTGAGTACTAACACGTGGCAAGGAGACGCCGATGTGTCAGCTGAGGTGCCACGTATCCTGGTCATTATGCCAAGGTTATCTCCGAAGATATCGGGATTCGAGATAAACGGATAAGGGACAAGAGTCTTAGAATGAAGAGGAGACTTAGTCAAGATGAGGATGAAATTCTTAGGGAGTTTATTTTTATCTCTTGAAGAGTCAAAGTAAGTATTGAATTTGAGTCCATAGAAGTCAAGCTTCTAGTGGGACTAGGATTGAGTAAACTATAAAAGAGAGGCACCCCCGTGGGTCTAAGGTACGCAAATTTATGCTTTGAGCAGTAAGATTAGCACTTGATTATCTCTGAGAGATATACTGACTTGATCATCGAAATGCCCCCGGGTGGAAGAACTACCGCCGGAGCCTTTTCTTTCTGTTTGCAGGTCAGCCAGGTGTTATCTATTCTGCCGGTGCTCTCCAGCTGGTTACTAAGTGGGCAGTGTGGTCAGAAAATGACTCACACAGTAAATAACCACCAGCATAACACCTACGAATATCGAAGTGATGACACAAGTCCAAAACACATACGAATGAGAAACTTTTAATTCCCTAGCTTCACATACACACACCACATGATATCTCATTCTCAACCCCATAGCTATAGTGAATTTCAAAATTGGGGATGTACGTAACCACCAGTGCCTCCATTGCTAGCTACATGCAAAGCACAACATTAAAATAAAAAAAAAATAAAAAATAAAAAGGTATAGAAAAAGTGTAAAGAAAGATTCTATTTAAACAAAAGTTATTGTAGCACATGGATTGGTGTTAGCATCATAAATCTGCAATTTTATTTTTTATATAATTGTAGGACACGTGGCATCCTCTTATTCATTTGGAAGTTAAAAGAAGTTATGGAGATGATGGAGAATATGAAGGACAAAGTGGATGAGTGGAAAGACACATGGCAAGACAAGAATGAAGATGGAAGAAATGGGTAGTTACTAAGTAGTTATTGCTGTATTTTTTCCTCTATAAATAGCCATTAATGGCTACATTGTAATGATCCAGAATTCAAATCAAAGACAATTGATTTCAATATTTCTTGTCATGCTCCTTATCTTAGGAGTAGTTTAACATAAATTTATACTTCGAATCATTTATTTTCAGCATTTCCATTTCGAAGCATTTTATGCACTTCCTTTTCGAAACATAGGAGTAGAGGTAAGTAATTATTACTTTGATTGTTAACTCAATCGTCTTTCTCCATATCCCTCATTCTTCTTTTAATTTTTCTTTTCTCTACACTTGGCAATTTTGAAGTCCTCTTTGTTGAGGCAAAAGAACCATCAAAGCAATCACTTGATAATTGGTTTGAATTTAATCTGTAAGGATTTTTCAATCCTGGCTGGCACGCTCGCATTTATGATATTTTCCTTCGTAGGAAAAATAAGCCAACAATTTTTGGCACGCCCGGTGGGACTGCCAAGTGTAAGAAATGATAAACGATTTGGATTTCACCATTTGAACTTGTCAATATGAAATATATTGGCGTGAAAGAAAAATTTTGGATCTTCAAGAAACGATCCATTTTCTTGATGAAATTTTTTTTCACGTTGTTTCTTCATTATCATATTATTTGGTAAAAGAAAAAAGACACCATTTAATTGAAGAAATTCATCAACTTGATATAGAAATTCGCCAATGGAATGATGAGTTATCAACTACCAAGTCTTTAACTGAGGCCTTAATGGCCGGAATTGGTGAATTTTTTTAGAATTTTTCCATGGTTAAAAATAGCAAAAGCAAAGAGTTGATTTCATCAATGGCTCGAGAGGTTCAAGAGTCCGTTTTTAAAGAACCAAATTATGAAATTAACATAACGAAAGAGCATGCTCTTGAGCCAAATTTGGCCAAGAATGATGTTCCATGCATGGCTCGGGGGGTTTCAAAACCAATTTTTAGAGAGTTAAGTCATGAAAAAAACATATCTATGGGTGATTTTCATAAGCCATTAATGGCTAACATGGAAAAACAACCCACTTTGCCAAATAATTATGAAAACCTATTCGGCAAAAGTCATGTTTTAAAAACAAACATGGTAAAGAAAAATGAAAAAGCCACTGTTCATGAATTCAAAATTTTTGACATTTTTCAAAATGTCAAAAAGTATAAATTTTCATGGTCACACTATACCATGACTTTTGTTGTTCAAAATCCATTTTGGATTTGTGGATCACATCAAACGTTGACTTTGATGGAATGACTAACAAATAATATTTCGTTATTGCAATATATTGAGCCAAAAAT